GCATCTCCTTGAAGACATACATCAGTCCAACCATTTTTGACTTCTGCAATCATTGTTCTTCCAGTGGATTCAGCATGGCCATGTAAGAATTCAGCCACAGACCTTTAATACCAGCTTTTCCTAATCTACCTATCAGGATCCATAAAGGCTTAGTTTAGTCCACTGCAGCTCCTCCCATGCAACTGGAATAGCTTCCTTGTGCAAATTCCTATGAAAGAATCTAACTGTGCCTTGTATTAGCCTTTGGCGTTTGGTAATTTCTAACATCGTTTTGGCAGTATTTCTGTTGGAAGCAATGCACTTCTTTGAAAAAGTAGAGACATTCAAAAAATTCAAGAGAAATGCACTTTTCATCACCTGATGAAACATGGAAAAAGAAAAAAACCTTGATGTAATCCACAATGATTCGAAGCCAACTAAGTGGACGCGTAGCCTGTGACTTCGTCAATGCTGTGCTCAATGATGTTTCTTCCATCTAGTTAGTAGTTACAGGGTCTCTCCTCTAAGTGTTGACTTTGAAGCTGCTGCATTTGCAATCATGCTCTTGTTCTTGTATTTATGCTCGAGGATAGATAACTTGTATATAATAAATCTGCATATTCTCTGTGCACAATGTTAGATTATTTGTACTGTTGGCTATCACCTGATGTTGTTTGATGTTAAAACTAAGATTGTTATGGTTTGTTTTGTAACATGAATTTGGGGAGAGTGTATTTGAATTCAAGAATTCAAGAAATCAAATTCGAAAAAGAAGTTTTATTTATAGGTTTTGATGTTCACACATACCGAACATGGCCTTTGATTTAGCTCCTAAAGATCAACAAGCAATTTGATCTAGACTGTACGTAATATAATTATTAACATTTTAAGTAAAAGAAAATCTGAGCTAACAGAAGAAACAGTAAGAGGCCTAGTGTAGAAAGTCTAGTGTATTTTTTCCTTCGCCTAGTGTACATGTATGTTGAAGCTTTCTTCATCAATAACAAGAACTTTGATCTTTAAAAGGCAGTGTTTGATCCTATAAGCCAAAGCCAATCCAGGGCGACGCCTGAAAATATGCCTCCTAGCAAAAACACCACTATCAGATTGCCCAAAGCGTTTTGTTCAGGTCCCTACAAAAGGAAAAAAAAATTATATAATTTTAAAAAATTTTCAAGTATGCTGCAATGAAGAATGGTGAAGCTTACATTTGACAGTAAACTTACCTTGTAACCTTTAGGTGCGACTGTCATAACACAGACGGTGAGGTGACCATTTGTTATTCCTAGGAAAGAACAGAGGAATATCATCCATCCCTGAGCACCATATTTTCCAGTGAAGTAGAATGCTGGGATCAGTAGGAAACGGGAAAGTACTGCAATCATAAGGCCCTTTCTGCACTCAATCTTCAACCATTTTATTAGGGGAAGGTATCTTCCTACCAGATCCCACACATTATAGGAGGCTATTAGAACAAGTGGATACCTATAACATCACAAGCCACCAGAAATTCATCAGGAAATTCACTTCATTGAGGTATTTCTTTATCTTATTCTATTTTTCATGAATGAGGACATACCATGAGGTGCCTAGCTTGTGATGAAGACCAGTGTTTTCATATAGGAACCCGGGGATAATTGATAATGTCAAGACATATATCAGGTAAACATCAAGTGCATAATCTATGTTCTGAAATAACAACTCTTTATTGCTCAATCTTTCCACTTCCCCCTGTGAAAAAGCCAAGAGATATTAGGAGGGGAAGAGCATTTAGGAATTCATGAGCATCAGATATATATTATCAGTTTTTGGAGAAAGTTGCAGACTGACTTGGTTTTCTGATCTATGGACTCCAGCAGCTGCAAGATCAGCTGAAACAGTTTTTGATCCTTCTGAAGCTGCCTTTGACCGGTAGTACTTCACAATGGGAATTTTAGGGAAGTAAAATGCATATAGCAGCACACAGAGGAGCTCAAAGAATGTAGAGATAGCTAGAAACAGCACTGCAAAACAAGTGTTTAATGAAAGAAATCAGTATTGAAGAAAATTGAAGAACTCTGAAGCTCACTAAAACATGGAACATAGCCTTCCAATTATTAAGTCTCAAGTTTGTGATATTAATAGTGAAAGAAAAGTAGCATACTTGTTCCTTTGCGGAGACCATCTTTATATTTCTCAAAGGCTGCTTTTGTAACTAGCCTCAAAGCTGAAGTCAAGGCCCCGGATGCAGCTAAACCAGCAAAGAAAGACTGGAAAAAAGGAACAAAACTGAGAAGCATCAAGACAAAAACACAGCAGCTTTCATAGAAAACTAGAGGATTCTCAGAAGACTGACCTGCATGAATTCAGGGCGCATGAAAGACAGATCTCCCACCATTCCACCTTGAACATGGGCATCTGCAACCCCAAAAGCACCAACAATTACACATACACCAACAAAAGGTCCAACACCTCCTTTCCCTGAAGTTGCTAAATCCAACTGTCAAAAAATTGTTGAAAATAGCAGTGTGAAAATCAGATAAAATGAAAATAATGAACATGACAAATCATTGAAATCAAGGACAGGTGAAAAGTTATAGAATCAATTCTTACAACTATAAGCAAGAAAGTGCTGAGAGTGAAAAGCATGTATCCAACCAAGTTTCTGCGCCGGGTATTAATCCTCGATTCATTGTATGCTAGTAATGCCATTGTTCCAAGTGCAAATGGTTGGTATACCAGTGTAAGTACTCTTGAAGGATGGTATTTCTTCAAAAGAAAATGAACAATTTAGACAAATGATCATCAAACCATAGTATTCAATTCTAAAGTAGGAAGCCTTTTTCTATTTTTGATCTTACACTCGGTAAAGAAATTACAAAGCAATGACTTAACATGTGAAACACTCACCGGGAACAACTGGTAGTAGTAGTCCCCTATTGTCAACATAGTGTTCCATGAGATAAGGGACCCAAATCCAAGAATCCAACAGACTACTACAGCCCTAAATTTGCCCTGGTAATCATGACAGTCAGTTAGACCAATCTAAGTAGGTTAACAATTCTACCAAGGCAACATGATTCAATAACAAAGGCAATAACCTCAAGCCTTGTTAGCTCCACTCCTCCATTACCAGTAGTCATGGCTACTCCCTGAAAGATCCAAAATAAGAAATTAAAATAAGACAAACTCCACAGACTTTCCATGAATCCTGTAATAATCGACGTACAACAAGTGCTGCTACCACAGGAAAACAAATTAGACAGAACAGAAAGAACTATAGCACCAATAACATTAAAAAGACGAAATTACAGCATTAAAATGCTAACTGGGAAAAATCTGGATTAATTGTTGTCCAGAATCTGGGAGTTTGGCAAGCAACTATCTTCTTTCTTTTCCTTTCAAGTTTAATGATGGTAGCAGACAAAGAGGTGCACGCCAACCGAAAACCTGGATTTATGCAGAAAGGAAATACTGATTGTGATCAATGGAAAGAACAGGTGGTAATTTATAATCAAATATTAGCACCCAAAAGAACAAGAAAAATAGAAGAACTTTATCAGGAGTGCGGAGGAGAAAAATCTGACCCCCTTTTTTTTTTGTTTGTTTTCTTATCCTTTTGTGATGTGACTGCAGGGTATGAGCCGACTATGCTTCATAAAACAACCAAAAAGAAAGAAAAAAAGAAAAAGTGGGAAAGAATGATTCTTTTGAATCTTTTTCCCTGGAAATTGAGTGGTTTGTGATGATGATTGATGGTCAAAGGAGCTGAGATGGAAGGAAAGGAATGCTAATGCTAATTGGTGGGAAGAATTTGACTTTCGTTTTTTATTTGTTCAAAGGAATCTTCTTAACCAGAGATTCATCTTCATCAATGAAGGCTTCACTACTGGATTCAACTGCCTGCAGTGTCTTGGTTCAAAAATTACGTACAGTAGTATGAAAAAATGGAGGAGAAGAAGAAGAAGAGGGCATACCAACACGGAAGCGGTGCTTGTGTAGGGAATGGAGATGCCGTGTTTGTTTGCTGTATTTTTCGAGTCATAAACTTGGCACACCTTGGAGTTTTCCCTAAAAACTGTTGGAACATGGAAAATGTAATGTCATCGGATTTGCTTCACGATGACGCAGGAGATTTATAAGATATTGACCTTTTCTAATAAGAAAATTCAATATTTAAAATTTAAAAGGTTATATTAAAACACGTAATTTGCTCTATCATCATTTATCAGTATATATTACTATTTTTTTTTTTTTGAACATTTTTATCATGGGCCAGCTTCAACCGTTGCTCCGAGAGAGGGATATGAATCCTACAAACGTGGCTAGAGCTACTTGACCCGAGAGATTAAGTTGAGTATATATTACCATTTTGAAAAGTAAGAGGTTTAACTACAAATTGTCAATTGTTGTGACCCAAAATATTCAAAGAAACCTTTATGTCAGAGGATAAAAATCTACCGATTCAAGTTTGAAAATTATTTTAAATCAATCAAACTCAAGCTTCCCAAGCCTCAGCTTTGTGGTCCCTAACTACCATACTTGAGTCATCATTGGCCTGCTAAGCAGGAAATTAGGAGAACGCAATACATGTTAATATGTATGTATTTTTTTTAGGAGAAATTAATAAGGGAATTATTTTTTCCATGACAAAGGCCATAAGTTATAGGTGCACCAACTGCTTGGACTACAAAGTTAGAGTGCTCTTAGTCAAACTCTGTGATCTCTCAAACCTAATTAAAGCACATGATTAACACCAAAACCTCTAGGTGAGCTAATAATGTGTAGCAAAAATCTTGGTCAATGTCAAAATTTAATTTTTTTTAATACATCTGATTATGAGTTATATAAAAAAAAATAGTCTTCTCTTATTCTGAAAACCTTTTTTCATTTAATTTAAACCTCAAACTTAATATTTTTAACTTGAAATCTGAATTTTTTAATCGTTGAGTCACTTTATTGTGGTTAAAATTCAAAATTTTTAAAAACAATTATAATATTTTTCTCTCATTTTTTTAAAAATTCTTCTTGTTTTAAAAAAAAATTAAAGACATAAATAAAACAAGGAAAATGAAATGATCCACTTGTTCCCCCCTTTCCTTTTGCTCTTAGGATCAAAAGGGGTGGTCCAAAGGACAACACGAGAGGAGAGAGGGAGATGCCCCAATCCTTAGGTCCGATTTTGATACCCCCTTATCATTTTCCACTAATTAACAAGCAAACAAGTCAAGGCCAGCAAATCTACCAGGGCTTGATCCAAAAGGCTCTATTTTTAGACTAAAAAAATACTTTATTATTTGGAACTTCATCCAACATTGAGTGGTTTAAAACTTCACCGTACATTCCTTCCACCATCTTCCTTTTTTATTGATAATAATGGGGGCTTAGAGGGCCATATTCTCTAAAGTTGTTTGATATTGGACTTATTTGGTGATTCTAATTAGTTTAGAATACATTCCAGGTAGGCAATTACTCCCAATAGAGGAGAATATAAATATGTATATAATCTTATATATAAATTTTATACATTATATTTAAATAAAATCTTAATTATTGAGATTTATTCACATATATTAAAAATAATTATTTTTTTAAAAAAAATTATAATAAATCTCAATTATTAAAAATAAAAAAAATAAATAATCAAAATTTTATCTAAATATGATATATAAAATTTATATATAAATGAATTTTTTGTCATACACACACATATATATATATATTCACACACTCTTCCTTTTTCCCCACTTGAAGTCATCTGAGCAATTAATACAGTAGTTTAACTAGTGACCTAGTGCATGTCATCATTTTGGAGGGAGCGGGGAAGGGGAGGGGGGAATTGAAAGATTGAGACCTTAGGACATGTTTGGGAAAGTGGTTGAAAAAAGAATTACATGAAAAGTTGATAAATTTTATAATGAAATTTTGTTAAAGATTTATTGAGTTAATAATTTTTTTGTGTTTGATAAAGAAGAAAAACTTAATAATTGAGAATATATCAAGAAAAATAAAGGTTTACAATGACACTTGGACCTTATTTTTGCTGTAGCATTACGGTATGAAAACATGTAATTAATTTTGACTTTCACCCTCATTTTATCATAGGGTTAAGCTGTAAAAATACATAAATAATATTAAAAAATCCAATAATAAGAAAAGTTAAAGGAGAAACTTTTGTCCCCAACCGAACCCCCTTAAATGGTCGAATTAGAGAAAGGTTTGCCAGAATATCATATGTTTATTTATTGCATAATTCTAAATACTGATTTTAATTATGAAATTAATGATTTTAAATTTAGTAATAATAGAGTTACAATATCACTTAATATTATAATTATAATATAATATAATATTCTAAATTTATATGCATTTTTAAATAAATAATAATACAATATAAGAACAAGTTACAATTATAAATTTATAATATTACGTAATATTATAATTATACTTTTTTCATTTTAAGAACACAAAGTCAACTAAATATCTTGATTTATCCATTGTTCATGCTGAAAATGAAAATTTTCAAAATTTAATGAAACCATTTTATTTACCACATTGAACAGATCCTAAAAATTGTTGATTTCCCCCATGCGGCCCACTGGTTGGGCTGCGCTCCTCAGGTGGAGATCATCCCTTGTCCCAGGTTCAAACCCTTATGCTTGCTAATAAATACTAACACAATTAGACTAACCAAGTTTTTACTATAAAAAATAAAATAAAAACAAAACAGATCCTAAAAATTGTTAAAGTGGTCTGCGGAGAAGAAATTCCCCTAAATTTTAAAAAAGTTTCTGAAAAAATATTTGCCAGTCCAAAACCCAGAACCCAGATCCAGTTTAAACTGGGCCGAAACCCAAGCTAAGAGTTGCCAAAATCCAGCAGCCTAAGCCTGGTGTAATCCTGGCCTAAAAAATAGCCCAGTGTGTTCCACTTTCCTTTTAAAGCATATTCGGTAATCTTAAAAAGTTAAAATGCGAAGAAGAATTAGAAAGTACACCGGCTTGGGCCCACACGATTTTCAGGTTGGCCCGCGACCGCAGTAGTTATTATTACTACGTGTGTGTACACATAAAATTAGTGCATAATAATTTTAATTTTTAAAATATTTAGAATCTTTTTTTT